TTCCTTAACAGTACTTATATATAAACACATATACAGACCCAGCCCTGTAGTCGGGCGTAAATTAAAAAAAACACTGTTGAAGTTATATACATTCAACCTTGGAAGGATAGCCAAGAAGTGAGCTAATTATCTTAATAAACTTCACAAAACAAGTGGCTTTGTGAGTGCTTGGATGCATGAAGGTTGACAAAAGAAACAGGGCGTCATGGGTTAGGATTGACCACCTGGTTGGTTGCCTACAGAAACAGACATAACAGAAAGTGAGCCAGGCTCAGTGAATAGTAATACAAAAATGAAATGATGCTCAACTTGAAACAAGACGTATATCAATACATATGAGAATACAAAGATTACAAAGTTAGCCTGATTCTGTATTCATCTTATAACGGCCTTAGGCCTAATCTTGAACATAACAGCTTGACACATTACATTCTTGAATCGTAATGGATTGAAGCCCTTGAACATGGTGGCACAAGGCCCTTAAACATGATGGCACAAGGCCCTTAAATAGAGTGGCACAAGGCCCTTAAACATACTTATGCGAACTCAAGAGGTGTCTCACACGGATTCTAGAGGTGGCTCACGTCGTAGCACTTAGTTCCGTGTAGCACTTTGTTTCATATCATAACAACTTACATTGAATGGCCGTAGGCCCAGAGTCTTATAGAAGGAAGGTATTTTATCCTTCCCATTTCTTTCTTTACATACTTGGAACATACTTGAACACTAACATACACACTTGAAAGATGAGCATAGTTGCATACTTGAAACATTAACATAGTTGCGGAAACGAAATGCTAATGAAAATCATTAGCCATATGTAAAGCGGATAATGATATTACTACTCACAGTGTTGTGATGATGAACTTGTTCCTCCCGGAGTGTGCCCTGCACACATTCAACCTTTAGAGTTTAGTTTCTTTTTCATATCAGGTTACTTTCTGTTTTGTTTTATTTCAAAGGAATTTATACATATTAAAAAGGCATCAAATACATATTCCGACAACATTAGAGGGTTCTACACGCAAAACGGAGCGACCCATGTTTTTCAGCATGGGTCGCACGTGCGGCTGTGAGCCCCGCACGTGCCTTTTAGACAGTGGCCAAGCCCCTGTTTTTCACCATTTCCCGCACGTGCGGCCATGACTCCCGCACGTGCGGCAGCACTTCCCGCACGTGCAGCCATGACTCCCGCACGTGCGGCGATTCTGCTCAAAATTGTCCGAAAATTTCTTACAAAATCCCATCTTTTGGTACATCCTCACAAGGCTTATTTTAACATTTTTAGTTGACAATACATAACCTAAAATTCATATTACGAAGGCTTCAAATACATACATTAAAGTAGATAACACTAATTCTTGAATTCTTAACTATGATCAAATTTCCCCTTTTTGCACCAACATCACATATATTAGATCAACATATATCTATAGGGTGAGTTCTTCATGATCTTTCATGAGAAAGAAAGAAATCAAGCTAAATTCTCCACATACATACATAAGCAACTTAGTTCAAGCTCATCCAATGGATAAAACATGATTCAATTACACCTTGGGTTCAATTATCATGGTTGTATCATCCTCAAATTCAAGAGAGGTATTATAAGAGGTAGACAAACTTACCTTGAGTTGAGATCTCCCAAAGTCTCTCTAGATTATTCAATCTCTAGCCTTTAGTGAAACTCCCTTCAAATTTCTCTCTACCCTTACTCTCACCATCCTTTTTCATGAAATGTGTTGAACTATGTTCAAAGCTCAAAGAACACACATGTATAAATGGCTAATAAGACAAAAGTCAATCGTTTAAACATCCGAAATTGAAATTTCCCAAAAATGCTTAATATTACTTAAAAATTACGCTGATTATATATGTGAAGTCAGTTTCAGATAATTAAGCCTTTAAGGCTTTCAATTTCTGATCTAAGCTTTCTCATGTAACAGATACTTTCCTTGTTGAACAGATAGACATTCTTAAACATATGCTTTAAACATGGAGTTAACTTTCTTATCCCTAATTCCTCATGGAATTACACAGTAAGCATCCTAAATCACAAAATAGGATCCGAAAATATAACAAGGAACGTGTACGAGGGTCGGGTTATTACAAAGAGAGCTTCTTGTGCAAAGCTTTGTAGGTAAGCCGCAACACAACCTTCTCTTTCATTTTCCTTTTTCAAATACACGTTCTAAGGGTTCTAAATAATATTTTCAGATCTGCTATTGATGATTTACTTGTGTTAAAAATGCTAAAAGTTGAGTATTAATTCCATCTCTCTTGTATTTTTCCCATTTTGGCACAAAACCATCTTTTTATACCAATCTCTCAAACTTCCCAAAGGCACACCTTCAAGAAAACTTTCTGAGTTAAATATATGTTAGTTAGCATGTTTTCTTCACAAAAGAAACGAAAACTTTCCCTCGGTGGAACCCTTTTTCTCATAAATCTTCTTGTTTTGGACATTGCACCTTAGAATCTGTTTTTGCAGCCCACTTTCAGAAATTCTAGAAAAATTTATAAAATTATTCTAGACCTCTAGTTTATGTCAAAACCTTCCTTAAGGAGTTATCCTTCAACTAAAAGTAGTTTCATCGAAATACATTAAGCGGTTTGCAAGAATATCAAATTTTCGTAACGGTCAACGGATCTGGACAGATTCTGGACAGCGCTAGAGTATTTTCTAAATAACTTAAAATTTGGAAAAGCAATCCCATTTTCGAAAAATGTTCTAGAAACTAGATCAAATTCTCTACGAACTATAGGAAGACCAAGTCCGGTGGAAGATCTAAAATAGTCCTTTCATTTTAATCTTTATGTGATGTTGAATCTGGAAACTGTGTTGTGCATGGATGTTTTATGCCCTTGAATTCATGAAATTGCCTACTTACTTATGAGCATATCTTGGCATGATATTATATGTGTTATGGTTGTATTATTTATCTTCCTCGTCTTAAGGATGCATGCTTATGTGGATATTATTGTCTTATCAATTAGACTAACCTCGATGTAAAACATTTAACTTCAACGGGAAACCTAATTGGAAGGGTATTGGGTTTTCGAGCACTTGAGTAATGAAAAGATGAGAATATGTGATATATGGATTTTTGGGATGCGTTCCCTATTTGAAAGTTAAAGTCTTGCGCAAGCAGTTGTCGCGTAAACCCTGGAATGGAACGGACGTATTCGGACTCCTTGCGACAATTTGAATGGCGTGACAAGGTTGGGTCCGGATGGGACATTCAGGATGATAAAACTTTTTCTGGAAGGATGAGGTCGGATTCAGGAGATAAAACTTTTTCTTTTCGCTATCCCTTTTGAGGCCCTGCGGTTGGCGCTACGCGGTATATAACCATTGGTAGGCATCCGAGGTTAGTTCTGCAACAAAGCAGCAAAAGGGGGAGTTCCGAATAGTCTGGTGTCCAATTCTTGTGGTTGGGAGGACGGAATCTCTTTGGGGGATTTCTAGTTTACTAACATCTAACTTGTAACCCTTTGTTTATTTGGTTGAGTATCATGCTTTACTATTTGATGTTATATTTGTGATTGTGTATTGGATTGGGAAAAATTGATGGGGTGTGTGTGT